ATCCCTTTTCTGTGGTTTCATGAGATCCCTGCACCCTCGGCACTGACGGTTTTTTAGGTGAGAGATTAAGGGCACGTAGATGGGCATGTATATACTTCTTCGATTTGATTAACAAGCTCGAAAGAGGAAATCCCCATTCGGACGTGTTTGGGAAGTTGAGACTACCCAGACGGATATACCTCTCTACGATCGACAAGAGACAGTGATCTCGGTTCTCTGAAACGCTAGTATGAGTCAAGACCCCCGTGGCGATCACTGGATTCTTGTCTATTTCTTTCATACTACTACCATAAGCAAGATTGGTCCGAACGCCGTGAGGATACGAATGACGATTTTTTATGATCCTGGTAGCCTGGAGTCAACCCGTAACCCATGCCATATGAGTGGCTTGGCGAGATAAACGAGACCAGACCCCTGATCCGTGGTACCTCCCTGAGACTCTCGTCTGGGGACAAGTCTTAGTAAAAACAAGGACTGATTGAATCTTGGCGTCCACAATCCACGTTGACGTATGATAGCAACTGAGAAAACGGATGACCCTAGATCTGAGTAAAGCACCAAGATTCAGGGCTATCACCCCCCGAATTGTTCTCCATGCACGATCACCATCAGTCAAGCACTACTCCCTGATTCAAGAGCGCATTTAGACGGATCCCCCACGCCATGATGATGAAGGGGAGCTGACAGGACACACTCGCAACCCGTCATACTTCACTTCCGTTTGTTATCGGCGCTCGAATCGATACGGACTACCTCACCCACCACTTAAGGATTGGCACTAGCCTGCCTTCGCCCACCTTTCGAATATTACAATAAAAAAAAAAACCAGTAAAAAGTTGAATCTCAAACGGCTCATGGCTACCTTGTTTGGACAAATACTGGTAATTGTTGTATGTTGAACAAGCAGCTGTGTTTTCATGAGGACGCGATATTACTCAGAAACTTGAGTAGATGCCTTTTTTCGCCACAATAGATGATCTCTACCATACTTGCGAATATTTCCTAAGCTAGTGGGGTGCCGATGACCTGTCATCGGAGATCATACCTGGCATAGTAAAACTTGCCATGGGTGCATTGAAGCACACATCAAAACAACACACACACACACACACACACACACACACACACACACACACACACACACACACACACACACACAGATCTTCAGCTTATACTTAGTCTTTGTGTCTGTCCTTCATCTTCATACTTAACAATGCTCATTTGTATGTATTCGCTAGTAGCACAAACGGGGAGGGTGGAGGGGAGGTGGAGGGAAAGCGATAGACTACCCCACACTCCTATAGATTTCCGCCTTCCGTCCCTTTCCCTCCACCTCCCCTCCACCGTCCCCTCCACCCTCCAGCGGTGAATATTTAGAAATCTGTGAAACCCGTCATACACCTTTCCCCTGCTCTTTGCATGTCATACTCTATCCTGCCCTCCACATATTTCCTTTCTTCCCGTTGCCCCTACCTCCCCTGGCCCATATTCCTAGAGAACTCCGCCTTCTATCCCTTACCCTCTGCCCTCCCCTCCACTCCCTTTGTACTACTAACAAATACACACAAATGAGCATCATTAAGAGAATAGACGATATGAACATCAGAAATGAACGGAAGTATGAAGATGAAGGACGGACACAAAGACTATATAAGCTGAAGATCTGAAGTTAAATGAACAGGAGTATGAAGCTCTGAAGAGATGCACAGGAGCATACCTTCCCTTTTACTCTGCCTCCTGAAATAACGTGCAAGTGGGCCGTGAAGGCAAACGGGGATGTGGGCAGCTGCCGCTCAACCACAATCAACATGGGCAGCCTTGTGCGTAAGAGGCACAGTAAAAGGGGAGCTGCAAGAACAATGAAA